CCACTAAGCCATGCCAGTTGGGCTACCTTGTATTTTTTTTTCAGAGAGGAAAGGAGAGGGGGAGAGAGAGAGAAACATCAATGATGAGAGAGAATTGTCGATCGGCTTCCTCCTGCACGCCCCCTACTGGGGATCAAGCCCACAACCCAGGCATGTGCCCTTGCCCGGAATTGAACCCGGGACCCTTCAGTCCACAGGCCGACACTCTACCCACTGAGCCACACCAGCCAGTTACCTTGTATTTCTAACTACTGTGCTTCTCTTCTCCCACCTGACCCTTCAACAACAATCAACTCCTTGACTTCAGAAGAAAAGAATGGCTGTTTCTTTGCTTATTCGATGTGAACCCTTTCACTGCTGTGCTTCTCCTGAGACAGGGACAGCGAGCGTGGATGATGTCATTTCAGTTGGGATTTGGGGACAGTCCAGGGAAGGTCCAGGGCATTAGGCCGCACAATGGAAATGCTTGGCATATGGCCAGTGTCCCTCTGTGCTCCCCGTGTGGTTGGCCAAGCAGGCTTTCCTTCCATCGCATCTCCCACCCTGCAGGCTGCAGGGCCCGGATAGGCCGTGGGAGTCCTGCCCAATCAGAACACGATGGGCAGCCTCCCCTTCTGTCCGGGGAGCCCAAACTCACTTCCAGGTTGAGTAGTGTATCTTCCTTTTGCTTGTGTAGTCTTTTTTTAATATATATTTGTATTGATTTCAGAGAGGAAGGGAGAGAGAGATAGAAACATCAAAGATGAGAATCATTGATTGGTTGCCTCCTGCACACCCCACACTGGGGATCGAGCCCGCAACCGGGGCATGTGCCTTTGACCGGAATTGAACCCAGGACCCGTCAGTCCACAGGCCGACGCTCTATCCACTGAGCCACACCGGCGGGGGCTGGATGTTTGGTCTTAATGGTTTGTGTTCCTGACTCATAGTTTGAAAGTTTGCCTCAGTGAGAATGTGTCTATGGAAAGGATGCGAGGGGAGATAAACAGTTGTCTCGGCCTGTTTGAGGGCATAATCGTGTTGCCCTAAGTCAAAATTTGGGGTTTCTGAAATTGCTTGCCTCTAGCTCACAGGAACATTAAAAACACCGTTTTTCTGAAATCCACACTTTAAAGTTAGCGTCCATTTAGAAAATGATTATTTCATATAAAATATTTGCCATGACCTTAAATCAGCGGTTCTCAACCTGTGGGTCGCGACCCCTTTGGGGATCGAACAACCCTTTCACAGGGGTCGCCTAAGACCATCGGAAAACACATATATAATTACATATTGTTTTTGTGATGAATCACTATGCTTTAATGATGTTCAATGTGTAACAATGAGATTGGGGGTCACCACACCATGAGGACCTGTGTTAAAGGGCCGCGGCATCAGGAAGGTTGAGAACCACTGCCTTAAATAGCCAGGTCTTCAAGTTACACAAAACATGCAGCATGATTTGCAGCCACCCGTTCAGGAGAGCCGCTATGCTGTTAAGATAAACATGGTGAGTGTAACGGGCTCAGTGCAGAGAACTAAACGGGAGCTCTCTGTCAGAATGTGCAACTCACAGAGAAATGGCACAGCTCTCTGCCTCTTTAAATGTAGGAAACTGCTTTGGCCATCTCTTTTATGTTTTATTTAAATAGTAGCCATGTGAAGTGACTTTTTCAAATAATGATTTTTAGGCCCTGGTCCAGTAGCTCAGTTTGTTAGAGCATCCTACCCATATGTCAAGGTTGTGGGTTCAATCCCCAGTTAGGGCACATGCAAGAAGCAGCCAGCAGCCCTAGCTGGTTTGGCTCGGTGGCTAGAGTGTCAGCCTGTGACTGAAGGGTCCCAGGTTCGATTCTGATCAAGGGCACATGCCTGGGTTGCAGGTCCGATCCCCAGTAGAGGGCATGCAGGAGGCAGCCAAGCAATGATTCTTTCTCATCATTGATATTTACCTCTCTCTCCCTCTTCTTCCTCTCTGAAATCAATCCTATCCTATATAATAAAAGCCTAATATGCTAAGTGTCCGACCATTCGACCAGTCACTATGACGCACACCGACCACCAGGGGGAAGATGCTCCAACCAGTAGGTTACCTTGCTGCTGGGGTCCGGCCGATCAGGACTGGGCGAGAAGGGCCAGACATGCCCTGGAGCCCTCCCGCGGTCCCTCCCCCACCAGCCAACCTCCTGTGGTCCCTCCCCGGCCGGCCCTGATCAGCCCTGATCAGGACTAGGCGAGTTGGGTCGGACACGCCCTGGAGCCCTCGCACGGTCCCTCCCCGGCCCCAATTGTGCACCAGTGGGGTCCCTCTGCCTGGCCTGCACCCTCTTGCAAATCCGGGACCCCTCGGGGGATGTCAGAGAGCCAGTTTAGGCCCGATCCCCACAGGCCAGGCCGAGGGACCCCACTAGTGCACGAATCCATGCACTGGGCCTCTAGTAAAAATATAAAATAAAATAAAAAGAATCAACCAATGAATACATAAATAAGTGGAACAACAAACCGACATCTCTCTCTCTCTCTCTCTCTCTCTCTCTCTCTCTCTCTCTCTCTCTCTCAAAATAAATTACACGAAATAATTATTTTTAGCAGATATATGTATTTAAAATCCTAAATGCGGTGAGATTTAATACGGTATGTTAAATGAAAACTATTGATCATCTTCTCAGCTCCCCTTAATCTAATGAGTTTGGGTTGAAAACTGGTGTGAGAATAAAAGTACTGGTGTAACTGGAAACACTACCTCAGGACCCCTCCTGGCCAGCTGGGCGCTGCTCTGGGATTCTGTGGCTCTCGTGTCCATGAAGTTTCTGGCTTGGGCACCTCCACTTGCAGCCAGCGCTCAGGCAGCCACCTGCCTCTGTGTCTGCAGATGAAGCAGCCAGAGATCAGGTCGCTGCTGGAGGAGAAGAGATGCATTTGAGGCCAGCAGGTGGTTCCTCAGACTTTCCTCTGAAGATTTTCTTCTCCCAATTAAGCATTGAAGTAAAACAGGGGGGAAAAAACATTTACTGTTTGTTTTCTATTCTTTTTACATTAAAATCATGCAGAGATGTGTTAGGGAAACCTCTAGTGCAGTGGTTCTCAACCTTCTGGCCTTTTAAATACAGTTCCTCATGTTGTGACCCAACCATAAAATTATCTTCGTTGCTACTTCCTAACTGTCATGTTGCTACTGTGATGAATCGTCATGTAAATATCTGATAGGCAGGATGGTCTGAGGCGACCCCTGTGAAAGGGTCATTCTACCGCCAAAGGGGTCGCGACCCACAGGTTGAGAACCGCTGCAGTGGTATTGATCACCTGGCCCATGGGGCATCTGAAGAGTGAATTCCTTCTACATTTTTAATTCATGGACCCAAACCTGCTGTCAGTGTAAAGGCTTTGGGAAGTGCTGTGTGACCTGAAGGAACTGCCATGGACAGAATAAATGACTCTTTAAGTCTCTAAGTAACAGGTTTCAATGAATATTTATTCAACTTTATTTTTATTCAACTGTTTTTGTTTGGTTCTTATCTGAGCATACAATGCAAGTACCATGGGAGTAGAAATAGAAAACACACTATAGCTCCAAAGGTGCTTATGATCTCTTTGGGAAGATAAACCACACATTTTTACAAATAATTATTATAATGTATATAATACAGAATAGAGTCACCATCATTTGTCTTACTGACTATTGCATGGAAGAAAGACATGACCATTAAGAACTGCTTACTCTTTAAATATTTACTTAGAATATTGGGCAACTTACTTACCCATGCACTTCAGTTTTTAATCAGTAAATTGACATACTCTAGGGTTGTGATCATTGACATAATACTTATAAAGCGTGTAAGAAGAATGCCTGACACGTAGCAAGTGCTTAGTAAATGGTAGCTACTCATAATAGTAACATCTGATTTAATAATAGTACCTATGAACTGCAGTACTTTTCCATTCTACAGATGAGGAAAGTAACACTTACACAGGGTGGGGTGGAGCTAGGATTGAGCCCAAGGACTCCAACTGCAGAGACCAATCTCTGAACAGTGATGCGATTGTACTGCCTTATCATCGGTTCACTCATTTCACCAAAATTAATTGAACATATCTACATGCCAGGTTCTATTTGTCATCAATAACAACATTATTTATATAAAATGCAGCGGAAACTATACAAAATGTGATCCAGGTTGGCATAGAATGGCATTGTATTCGCTTTTTATTTTGACAAAGTCTGATCCAAATATTTAAGCAGAGTTACAAATAACATCTGCTTAAGAAATACTGGAATAGCCGAAGCCGGTTTGGCTCAGTGGATAGAGCGTCGGCCTGCGGACTGAAGGGTCCCAGGTTCGATTCCGGTCAAGGGCATGTACCTGGGTTGCGGGCACATCCCCAGTGGGAGATGTGCAGGAGGCAGCTGATCGATGTTTCTCTCTCATCGATGTTTCTAACTCTCTATCTCTCTCCCTTCCTCTCTGTAAAAAATCAATAAAATATAAAAAAAAGAAATACTGGAATCAATGAATGTTGCTTCTCCTAGTATCATAAGCCACATAATACCAAATAGTGTGCTTCATACCTTGAATTCTTACACTGTATCATTCACACTTTTAGATAGGACTTAAGTGAGGAAATTTCGTATCCACTTTTTCTTTTCTTCGTCTTCAAAGTCCCCAACAAAACACTCCCCACAGATGGACCCTTGTATTTGAAAAGTCCACACCTTTGGCTTCCTTGTCCTACCGCCATGAAACACTGTGTCCCGAATAGAAGCCCCTGTGGTTGACTTTGCATAGAAAATGGTCTGTTGGTTTCCTATGCAGCGGGATCCTTTCAATGCGCTTACGTTTACCTCTGAAGGTCTCTGTCCTCTCAGCCTTCAGTGCAAGTTGAACTGTAAAGTGAGTTTTCTGGTCACTTTTTAAACCGAAGAGGTCTTCTCGGTGCCGGTTACCCACCGCGTTATGGCCCGTTGACCTGTGTTTATAGTCATCTGAGCGCTCTTCTGGGTGGTGGGCTTTCCCCCTCCAAAATCAGCCGTAGGGTTGGGTAGGCGTGGAGTCAGATTTTGTGAAGAGATCATACAGGATCTTCTTGAACGTCTTATCTAAAAAAAGAAATATAATGGGGTCGGTGCTGCTCCTGGCTGAGGCGAGACAGGTGAGGATGTTCTTGATTTCTATCAAATAATTCAGTTGCTCACAGGTCACCGTTTGGTGGAGAACATAGAAAATGGGCTTAAAAATGCTGTAGGGGAGGAAGCAGACAATCAGTAGGATCTGGATGACCAGCAGATGCCTCCTCACCGAACTGTACATGAGATGTCTCTCCGTGATGGACGTACAGGTCCTGATCTTTCGCAGGTGGCTCACGAAAGAGTAGTATGACGTGAGGACGACCAAAAACGAGAATCCGATAAACGTGGTCCCAATGAGGCCGGCGATCTGAGAGATCATGGCTCCTAGTTCCATCTTCCGGTTATAGCACCGGGTCTCCTCTCCTTCCGTGGCCTCCACCACGGAGTAGTAGATGATCACCGGGATGATGATGCCTAACACGCCCCCCCAGATGTACACGCAGAGCTTCTTAGCGAAGTTGGGCTGGCGGAACTTCTTCAGTAAATGGCCGTAAAAGATTTTCTCGTAGCACGAAGTGGTCTCGGGCGTGGACTCCTTTTTCATCAGGGTAGCATAGCGACTGATGGCGATCCAGCTTAAAATCAGGAGGCTGACAAACATACTGACGTGCATGGGGAGCGTCCCCAGGAAATTGACCACCCTGCACTGCGCGGATCGATATTCCCATTGGAAACCCTTCAGGAAATACATCCCCATGAAGGGCATGGTGCTGCACACGAGTAGGTTCGCCGTCACGAGATGCGCCAGGTAGATGTGAGTGGAGGTTTTCTTGCCTATTTTGGTTAGAAACACCCACTGAGAGAGAGAATTGCCGAAGAGGCCGACGACACAGAGGAAGCTGTAAAGGATTGGCAGAGCCACGGAGGAGATCGAGGACGGCCGGATACATGTCGAGGCGGAGTGGTTATTCATCTAGATCAGCTCTTCTTGACTTTTGTCACAGGAGCTAGAACAGAATTGCAGGTGTTTTTAAAACATGTATCTGCCCTAGACCTTCTTCCACCTCCCCCCGCCATGTTAAATAATTAAACTTATAAATGGTATTTAAGGTGAACGGTTTTTAAAAATTGGGTAAAATAGTAACATGGATGTGTTGGATGGAAAGGGAACGTGTAGATGCCTTCTCGCCTTTTCTGATCCCAATTGTGCAGGTGAAATAAAAGCAAAAGTTGATGCGGAAAGCGCCTTTGTCTAAAAAAACAATATTTGATAAACATAGTTAAATGCCTGAGTTTTGTCACTTTTACTAGAGGGCTTTGTAGTTCTTCTGTTAGACTCTAAAGCAGTTTGTAAATGACAATTGATTTTCCTTTCTAGAAAGGTACTTTTTTATCATTTTAAGGCACTTCCAAGCAATACACACACTGGCCAAAGGAACCTGTTGCCAACGCATAGAGAGAAGACTGATCTGTAATCACCGCATTCATTGTACATAACTACTGTTCAAAATGGTGTCTCTCCATGGCTGGATTAAAGCACTTCTCCAAAAGCTAATACTGTTAGAAGAGTCTCTTTTCCTATTTCAGAAGCAAACTTAATTCCACAGAAACAGATACTCGGGCAAGATCCTGAATTGCACAGAAGGGAAGTGTAGTAACCAAGGCAAACACCGAAATCCCAGGGTCTTTACCAAAGGTCATCAATAATGTATTTCAAATACTTAACGCTCAACAGTCCTGCTTCAATACGAAGTTTACTTTCAAATTCTGTCAAAACTGTAGCTGCTGTGCTTGTTGGTTAGAGCGCCCTCACGTGTCTGTGTGTGTCATTGAGTATCTGGTTTTTCAGAGAAGAGGTTTTTTAGAAGTTATTTTAATCCCAGCAGAAATGCAGGTGTGGCGTTTGCTTTTCTGTCTTATTTTGAAATCTTTATTTACAGGGTACACATAAAGGGTTGAAAAGCCACATAAAAACTCCTTGTCATTCTTATTTTTTCCATGTCCTCATTTCTTTCAGGGGAGAATAAGAGAAGTTCTCGGGTTCTGGTCAAATAATCATGAGATTTCTCAGAATGTGCCACATTTCTTGAGTTTTTCCACCATAACTTTCTAGGAACCACATTCTCTATTCTTCTCTAATCTAGAGTGAGGATTCTCAGTCTTATTTTTAGAATCCTATCCGCTCTTCGGCTAAACACAAAATGTTGGCCATACATTGCCTCCTGAGATTCTCATATGCCCCCGGCCCCTCGGGGCTGCTTTTTCTCTATCTCTCTTCAGAATCATGGTTATATTTTTGCCTCTTGGGTTGCAAAAACAGTATATTTGAAAAAAAAAATCCCTATTACAATTTTGAAATAATTTTTATACCAAACAAGACCCACCTAAAGACCTGAAAACCTGAAGGCTATGCAGTGTCTCTAGTTCAAATACTGAGACCCTTTATTAATGTCTACCGGTGTCTTTGTCATTCTATTCTATTTCTTTGTCGTTTTTACTCAGGAAATCGTCCACGTGCCGCACAGTTAGGGGGTTTGAATCCACTCCACCTGGCAAATCGGAATCTGCTTGCAGTTAGTGTATCACATCTGCTTGTAAATATCTGAAACCTAAACTGTAGCACATCAGTCAAGTGGAAAGTGAGCTAAGCCAGTTTCTTTCTTAAGGAAAATTGATCTGATCAAAGTAGTTTTTATTGCCCTGACCGGTTTGGCTCAGTGGATAAAGCATCGGCCTGTGGAGTAAAGGGTCCCGGGTTTGATTCCGGTCAAGGGCATGTACCTTGGTTGCGGGCACATCCCCAATAGGGGGTGTGCAGGAGGCAGCTGATCAATGTTTCTCTCATTGATGTTTCTGACTCTCTATCCCTCTCCCTTCCTCTCTGTAAAAAATCAATAAAATATATTCTTTTAAAAAGTAGTTTTTATTTTCCAGAAGAAATGGACCTTTTTTATGATGATATGAAAGAAACACACTAGCCTCCTGCCTTGTGTAGATAATACATTCTATACCACAATCTGTAAACGTGATCATGTTTCTGTATTAATAATGTTCCCTTTTTTTTTAAAGTAGACCACCTCATACAGCATCTGATCTCTTACTCCTTACCATCACCTTGTTCTGTTTCACACTAGCAAATGCTTCAGAACAGAAGGGAGGTAAAGAGACTTCCACAGAGTCTAGCGCTATGAGAGGAATGACATTGACCCTGAACTTCAGTGTAACAAATGACAACTAGTTCACATCTTCAGCTTCCCAAACATCAGACTTGTGTCTACTATGTACATCTCCTTTCAAAATAAACTTTGATTCTAAAAGTACTGGATAATTCGTTTCTAAAATTTGGAAAATAGTATTAGGCTTAAGAAATCAAAGAAAAATCACTACACACACACACACACACACACACACAGAATTGTTCTCCAAAACGATCTCTCCAAGCCTGCATTCCCCTCAGTATGCTGACTGTCTTGAGTCGTGCACACATTGGGTCTCAGCTGATTTGACAGATGAAAAAGGTTCTACAAGTCTAAGTTCAGTTACTAATGATCATCTACATAATGACTACGCTGACCAGCTCTCTTACCTGTACAAGCAGCTAATGCGAGCGAGGCTCCGTTATTCAGGGCAGTGATGCTAAACTTCAGGCTCGGCTTCTCTGCTCATCACGCCTTCAGTGCCCTGCAGTGTATGTCAGTGTGAAGAGATTCTTGCATGACACCGACGACAGTGGGGGAAAAAAAGGAAATAAACACTATTGTAGAAATCCAGTAGCTGTAGCGAATGTAGCAACTACCTTTCCCACCCAAAAGACAACTAATTTCTCTGTTTCTGCAGTGAGAGAGTGGGAGGAAGTTGGTGGACCACATATATACTGTCCTTCCATGTGGTTCTCTTATGCCCCAGTGACACCTCAGCTAGCTTGACTAGCAGGCTTGATTGAAGTTCAAAGGTTTGAGCCCCGTGGCTAGTTAGTTTGACACCACACGGTGGTGGAGGGAACCACTTCATATTGACCCAATAAATTATTCGTACCAACTTGTCTGTAAAATCACTTTTCTTATCTACAGAAGCTGTTAGGTAAGGAAACTGAGTTTTCTTTCCCTTTATTCTTGATAAGGATGAATTGCGATAAGCCACCCACAGATGATTTCACAGACAAGGATAAACAAGTGAGGCCCAGTCCGGCCCGTGTGGCTCAGTGGTTGAGCATGGACCCATGAACCAAGAGATTTCAGTTTGATTCCCGGTCAGGGGACATGCCTGGGTTGCGGGCTCGATCCCCAGTGTGGGGCGTGCAGGAGGCAGCCAATCCATGATTCTCTCTCATCATGGATGCTTCTCTCTCTCTCTCTCTGAAATGAATAAAATATATTTTTTAAAAGAAGTGAGGCCCAGCACAGCACACTGTAAGCACTGCACCCAGGGGGTTGGGTCCCAACCTGCTTGCTAAGAACTAGCTCATTCTACTTTGAAATGCCCTGTGCTGCCTCCATTCAGAGTCAGAGTTGGTTCGGAGCATTTCAGAGTGGATTTGGGGAATCCTGGGAAGTTCTAGGCCAGGGGTGGGCAACCTTTTTGTGAGTGCGTGCCCAAACCAGCAAAATCTCTGACTCAAAATTCTCCTGCGTGCCAACCCTAATTTTTTGAGAACATGTTACGCCTACTTGATATCTCTTAAGGTGTACGTATGTGAAGAACCTTGAAGAAGTAATACAATTCATTCGAGCGACAAAAACACAGGATATGATGATGAAAAATACATTTATTTTTTAAGGTATACATGTGTAAAATTATTTATTTATCTAAGATGCACCTACACTGAATTTATCTGAAAAATTAAAAAGTCGATATTAAGAAAAAAATTGTAAATGGAAGATTATAAGAGAGGGTTTCGTGTGCCAGCAAAAGTTACTGGTGTGCCATGTTTGGCACGCGTGCCAGGGGTTGCCCACCCCTGTTCTAGAGTCTGAACCTCAGGTATACCTCGGATAAAATGAGTAGTGATAGTATGATATAAAGAATTGTGAAACCGATTTTCTGCATAGAATTGTGCAACCAGTCTGAGCTAGTAACTAGATAAAAGCATCACACTACCTTTTCTTGGAAAGTTAAACCAGTGAGAGTCTGAGAATGGAAACAGAAATCCAGTGAGGGGTGTGCAGGAGGCAACCGATCCATGCATGATTCTCTCTCATGGATGTTTCCATCTCTCTCCCTCTCCCTTCCTCTCTGAAATCAATAAAAATATATTTAAAAAAAATAAAGTAGCCCTAGCCGGTGTGGTTCAGTGGATAGAGTGTCATCCTGTGGACTGAAGGGTCCCGGGTTCGATTCCAGTCAAGGCCACATACCTCAGTTTCAGGCTCCTCCCCGGCGCGGGCCTTGGTCGGGGCGCATGCAGGAGGCAACCCATCGATGTGTTTCTCTCACATCAATGTTTCTCTCTGTCTCTCCAGCTCCCTAAGAATCAATGGAAAATATCCTCGGGTGAGGATTAACAAAAGGGGGTGGGCAGGCTAGAACCCAGCAGGCACAAGACACCTCCGTTTACCTGAATGTTTGTGCTTCAACTAGACAGTCCTTTGGGGCTGTCCGCGCCCGCGTCTACGCTCCGGCCAGTCCCGAGCTCGGGGCCGGGCGGCTGTGAGCAGGGGAGGAGCCACGCCTCCTGCATCCCGTTAGAGCATCACATGTCAAAGTTCGTTATTCCTCCAACTGGGGGGGGGGGGGGGGGGCATAGAAGCTTGCCTGCGGCCCGTTCAGCGCACCCCAGGCCAGTGGTGCCTCCGGGAGGAAGCACAGCTGTGAGCTCAGAGCTGTGGTCTCCGGGCCGCCGAGCGCCCCGCCCGCTGCAGGATGTGGGGTCTGGCCACGGCCGTCCTGCCCTCAGCCGGGGTGTGAAGAACCTCTCCTTGCCCCTGAGAGCTGGTTTCTCAGCACCCCTGGGCACATTTCCCAGCCGGTCGGAAATGGGGGAGAGTCCAGAAAATGGTTCGCTTTTTTCAAATGTTTGTATTGATGTCAGAGAGGAAGGGAGAGGGAGAGAGAGAAACATCCATGATGAGAGAGAAGCATGATCAGCTGCCTCCTGCACGCCCCACACTGGGGAGTGAGCCCGCAACCCGGGCCTGTGCCCTTGACCGGAATCGAACCCAGGACCCTTCAGTCCGCAGGCTGACACCTTACCCACTGAGCCACACCAGCCAGAGTGAAAAATGATTAGCTTTGTAAGAAAGGTCTAATGACAAGACCTCCATGGGCCTAATCAATGCTTCTGCTTCACCTTTGACCTTTGTCGTGTCCTATGGGCTTGAATGCAGTGAGCGGGGCGGGTCTTCTAGAAACACCCACCACAGAGGCACTCAGCAGTGTTGGTGGCAGTCATAGAATCGGAATGGCCTCCGAGGTGGCAGTGGGAAAGCAGCCGGGAAAGTAGCAGGCTTGGGGAAGGGAAGAAACTTCGACCTTGGATGCGATGAGGGAAAATCTGGAGGACAGGCCGATGTTGAATTTCACCATCTTCACATCAGTCAAGTTCGGTTCATATTATGCTTCAGAGCCTACCTTTTTTTTTTTTTACAAGTTCTTTGAAAAGCCAAGAGTATATAAAGTTTTCAGAAAATAAAACATCTGATGATAGAATTCCATATCTAATTTAGGAGATCACATCAGCACAGCTACAAACCGTATACGCCTCTGCGCCGGGAAACAACCACTTGAATTGCAAGGAGGTTTAGAGACGCCTGTGTCATATACACCTGGCCGTTTTACTAGCAATCGCTTCTGTCGCATTTCTAAATAAAATGGTCCTGTCCTCATCCAAGGGGAGGGGAAGAGAGATGGCAAAGGAAGACGAGGAAGAGTTTGGTGGATTCGGTCTTACCTGCTGTACCTACTAGTGTCTCTATTCATTTTCTCTTCTTTTTTAAAAATATATTTCTATTGGTTGATTTCAGAGAGGAAGGGAGGGGGAGAGAGGGAAACATCCATGAGGAGAGAGAATCATGGATTGGCTGCCTCCTGCACGCCCCCTACTGGGGATCGAGCCCACAACCAGAGTCAAACCCCAGACCCTTCAGTCCGCAGGCCGAAGCTCTATCCACTGAGCCACACCGGCCAGAGCGCATCTTGGTAATCTTTTGATGGATGGCGATATATGAGACTTGAAGTAGTCGTTTTCAGGCATCCCTCTAAGCAAGTCTTCGTGTTTCAGATATTTCTCCAATTGCACTAGACATGGCAGAGTTGCTAATATTGCCATGCTGTCTCCTCCCCTTGTCTCCATCAAAAACCAGCCTAAAATGGATCGCTTCAATGAATCTGCAAATCAAGTATTGCATCCAGGAAATATAAGCTCATATCTCCAGAAATATCTGGTGGAGAACATTGGAAAGAAGAAACAACAGTTACATTTTAACCCAGAAAAAGTCTGTGAGAGACTCGTTGCTTTGAAGGTGCTGTGTCCAGCAGAGGGCAGTGTGTTACCGGCCCTAGTTACACCTCTTGCTGCTAAAGGCTGAAACACTACGGTGCCTGCGTTGCGCTATTTTCTAACCAGAAAATGTGAAACAATTTAAAAGTGTAGTGTTTTGAGCTCTAACAAAATGATAAGCCTTCTTTAATTTAGTAGCTGAAAAACACTTTAAGTGTTAGAGAATAAAAGCAATTGTGTGGGCAGTGGATTTGCGTCCTTAAAGTGAACACGCGGTGCTATTCATCCGCCTTTAATAGGACATGTACTTCGGGGGTTCTTTGGGGGTTTTGTACTAGTGATTAGCACAAGAGCCAGCTTTGTAAAATCTTCACAACTATAATTGTCCTAGTGGTAAAAAGAAAGTCTGACATTGGAGTATGCAGATGCAGAAGCTTTAATCATATTTTTAGTTTCCCTTTAACTTTTAATATATATTTTTATTGATTTCAGAGAAGAGGGAAGAGGGAGAGAGAGATAGAAACATCAATGAGGAGAATCATCGATTGGCTGCCTCCTGCATGCTCCCTACTGGGGATGAAGCATTGTCTTTTTTGTTAATAAAATTATTATATTTGTGTCACCATTTTAGAAATCAGTGGTACATATGCTTTTCATTATATTTTGCTGGTGACCCGGTGCACGGATTCATGCACATTGAAAGGAAATTAATTAGAAGGTAACCAGCGGGGCGGGACTGGGCAAGATGGGCTAGACATGCCCTGGAGCCAACCTCCTGCAGTCCCTCCCCGACTAGCTGCACCTGGGGCAGTGCCGTGGCTCCAAGGGCCTCTATGGATTTAGCTAGGGCCGTCTAGCAGGTGGGGTCCCTCGGCCTGGCCTGCAGGGATAGGCTAAACCCGGCTCTCCAACATCCCCCGAGGGGTCCCGGAGTGCAAGAGGGCACTCTGCAAAGTTGCTGTTGTAGAGTGTGGAACACAATTGCAAGTGTGCAGTAAACCAGATTCGGGGCCGACAGTGCCCCAGTAACAACATGACCCATGGCTAAAGGTGGAATCACACGGCCCCTTGAGGAATCAGGCTCCTCTCTGGTTCCGGGGTGTGTTACCTGAGAACCGCCACTGCCAAGTCACTGCAGCTGAGCAGTTCCTGTGTTAAGCGTCTTCATCCTGGTGGTCAGTGTGGGTCATACCTATCAGACAGTCGCTTAGCCTTTTAT